TGTGTCATTTTGACCCAGGGGTGTTATTTTGACCCTAATCTGTGTGATTTTGACCCCGATGTGTGTGATTTTGACCCTGGTGTGTGTGATTTTGACCCTAATGTGTGTTGTTTTGACCCCGATGTGTGTTATTTTGACCCTGATGTGTGTGATTTTGGCCCTAGTGTGTGATTTTGGCCCTAGTGTGTGTCATTTTGACCCTGGGTGTGTCATTTTGACCCAGGGGTGTTATTTTGACCCTAATCTGTGTGATTTTGACCCCGATGTGTGTGATTTTGACCCTGGTGTGTGTGATTTTGACCCTAATGTGTGTGATTTTGACCCTAATGTGTGTTATTTTGACCCGATGTGTGTTATTTTGACCCCGGTGTGTGTGATTTTGACCCCGATGTGTGTGATTTTGACCCCGGTGTGTGTGATTTTGACCCTGATGTGTGTTGTTTTGACCCCGGTGTGTGTGATTTTGACCCCAGAGTGTGTGATTTTGACCCGCGCACACCAGCGTCCCCGCCACCCCGGCGCGCCTCGCCCCTTTCTGGCCGCCGGGAGGCCGAGGCGGGAGGCTCACAGGACGCCGGGAGTTCGAGCCCCGCCGGGCCCGCACAGCAAGACCCCGCCTGCCCGCCAAGCGGGGAAAAAAATGAGCCGGGCGTGCTGTGCGTTTCCCTTTTGTCGGTGTTTTGAGTCGGGGTCTCGCCGGGTGGGCGCCCCGGAAGTCATTCATTTATTCGCCAATGCGGTCCCCGGGGTCTGTCTGTCTGGGCCCGTCGAGCTCGGGGCAGGGGGCGGCCCAGGACCCGGTCGCACCCTTTTCCACGGCGGCATCGGATTCCCGGGTGTAGACACCCCCACACTGGCACTGAACACCAGCAGGCCGGCGCCTTTCGCGTTCGGTTTCCCGCGGGAAGACGTCGACGGGGCAACGCAGCCAGACCCCACCGCCCCAAAAAGTTCGAGATCACCCCCGGGGCTCGGGAGGCCGAGGCGGGAGGATCGAGCTCGAGCCCGGGATTTTGAGAACCGGCCCGGGCCCAGGTAGCCAGACCCCCCCGTCTGCAATAATAATAATAATAATAATAATAATAATAAAAATAATTAAAAACGTAGCCGGGTTGGCCAACTTTGGGTTTAAAAAGCCCAATGGCCCCCAGATGGCCTTTTTTTGGGGATTTTTCCAGGCCCAGCTTTGGGTTGAAAAGAGCCCGTTTTGGGGGAAGGGGTCTGAAAAAGCCCCCCTCACCCATCACCCCCCCAAATTTTTTTAAAACAAAAACACTCTAGGCTTGGAGACAGCAAGAAAAAAAAATCTAAAAAGTCGATCCAAGGCCTGACTTTGGTTTTGGGGCGAAAAAGCCCAACTCTGGGGGTTGACAAAGTGCCGCCTTGGGGTTTCGAACAGGCCCGACTTTGGGGTGAAAAAGCTCCACTTTGGGGTTTTAAAGATTCTCACCACGGAAACTCCCCAAACCCACTGATTTATTATCAGTCCCAGGGCCCCTCTGAGGGCTTTAAAAACCTTCAACTTTGGGTTTAAAACAGCCCAGGTGGGGGTTTCGAAAAGCCCCACTCAGCTCCCCACAAAAGTGCTTAAAAATTTTTTAAAAATAATTTCTCGCCATGCAAACTCCAAAAAATAAAACAAGATACGTAAAAAACTCCACTCACCTCCCAAAAAAAGTGCTTCCAATTTTTAAAAAAAATGTGTAGCCATGCAAACTCCAAAAAATAAAAC